GTGATTATATCAATTAATCGTAAACATTTGAAGGTGAGCATGAATTTACTAGTCACATCCATTTAACTATATCAATTCTATCACATTCTTTTGGTTATTTGATTTAGTCGGTTGTGGTTGCTTAAGAAACCAAAGCCTTCAACTTTGTTCTAAAACAAGTCTATTGTCTTTATTGCTTTCTTCAATCATTTACGTTATTTCCATTCATTATTGTTTTTCAAGTAAAAATGTTGATATAAATACTCATATTTATGTTAGGATATATATTGTCATATAAATATAACTAAGATTTATTATACAATATTTGTTGAATTACAGTTACTTTATGTATATATTTTTGTATCTCTATCACGTTAATTTTATCTATTACTTAGTAAACTATGATGAATTACTAACATGATATTAGAAAAATTGATCTAAGAACAAGTTCCTTCTATTGAATTTAGTTTCAAGTATTAGCTTAAGAAAGATAGGCCATGTATATATATGAATCTTTTGATAGGTTATGTATGTATGAAATGCTTATTGTGAAAATTGGAGGTAACAAATACAAGATTATGATTATATGTGAGCAATATGCTAAAGAAGTTTTAGTGAAAACATAATGAGCCAAGAAAAAAAAAACTTATATGATTTGAAGTTAAGTTTGTATATAAGTTTGTTCTATCACAAGAAAGGTCTAGATTTCAAATAAAAGAAATAAATAGAATCATATTCAAAGTAAGAATTTTATTTCGTATATTTAAATATGCAAAATAGAGAGATGTCACGACAAATGTCTTATTGAAAGATGATCTATTTTATGTAATAGATCTTGAGGATGATATTATCAATGCAAAATTTAAAATTGAGGCAATAAAATCAAAACCTAAGAATAGAGCTTTGAAACTTGTCACTTTACTTGTAGATGAATTTGAAGATGAATTCACGGATAAAAGCAAAGATAAATATACTTAGACTTCTAATTAAGGATTTGCAAAGATTGCATAATCTTCATATTTATCTATAGATATTCTTAAGCTGAAATAATACAAAAGAAAATATGGCAAGGTGTTAAGAACTTTGAATTTGTTTCTTCAAAAAATAGTATATAAAAATAGATAAAAACATACAAGATCAACTTGATATATGGATTAAGTTATAAATGTTATTTGATACTAAGATAATAGCTAGCAATATGACGTTGTTAAAAAAAAATTAAATCTAAAAATAAAAGAATATATAACAATTATAACTTATCTTCAATAGGTTAATTTGCTATTGAACTAATTATGAAAGCTAAATAAATATTCAAAAGAATCAAAAATAATTCATTAGATTTTTTGTAGCCTACCAAAGAAATTTGATATGTGTAAGGCAATTATTTTAAATAAAGGATATATTATGGAGTTGGATGAATTAATGTGACTATTTTTAATAAAAAATAATATTAAAAGAAATAGAAGACATAGAAAGAAGAAATGAATATGAAATATTAGTAGTGCACTTTAAAAACATGATTACCAATAATCAAGAAAGGAGAAGATTTATGAAGGAGAAATAGAATGGCTTGGGTAGCTATTAGAGACTCTCAACTTATGTCACGGACATACATATTTACTCCAATAATTATCTATATAATTAGATAGAAGTAGGTAAAAGTAGATTAATTTCATAATATCTTTTAAAAAAGCTTCTTAGAGGCTTCATAGATGCAACTTTGACTTTACATCCATTTTTAGTTGATTGATAGGTTAAAAACTTGATCAAAAAGTTAGTTATGTATCACATGTGTTGATAGCTTGTAAAACAAGCTAATTATGTGGTGCACATAAAAAAAAAACTTCCCTTGCAAGTTAAAACATGTGTTTTACAAAGACAATATGTATTGGAGGTCTTATAGAATATCGCCTTGTATCTCTTAGTTAGATAGTATATGGAAGCAAGAATAAAACCTTCTTCATTCTTGTCAATGCCTTTCTAATCTTTAGTCTTATTTCAAGACTTTTTAGTCTTCTTGTCTTTGATAGTAGCCATTCTAGTTTAATATTATATCTTTGAATGATTATTTAGTCTTTTTGAGTGAAATAAGAGTGTATTGAATTTTTCTTTTTTTAAGATTCATATCCTTGACACCTTATATTTTTCTTAATATTAGCCAAAGTATATGTCATTAATGTTTGGAAAAAATGACATGCTACAAGGAATTGTAATGCACTAAAATCAATCTATTTTGTAACACCATCTACACCAAATTATATATTAATTTGAATAAATAGAATGTTTGGCATTCATTCTGTTGAAGAACTTATAGAGCATCAATACTTAATATCCATCTACCTAAAAGATGAAACTTTTGAATTTGCATTGGCTATATTTACAACCAAAACAATTAGAGATGATTGAATCATAGATTTAGGGACAAGCCATCATTATGCTAGGTATCTTAGCAATTTTTGAAATATGACTAGTATAAGTAATATTCTACTAGTTTAGTATATAAGAAGTCAATTTCATATTGTAATAATTAGAGATGATGTATAATTTTATAATACAAATTATAAAATAACATAACTTATAAATATTTGTTATATATCAAATTTAAGTCTTAGTTTTTTATAAGTCAGCAATTTTTTAACTAATATAACATAGTATTTTTCAGGAACTATATTATATGGTAGTAACAAGAAAAATACCATTCAAGATCATTGCCAAAAGAGTGAGAACATCCAATGGGCTATGTCAATTCACAGATATCTACGAACAAAATGAATAAAAACTATTAATTAAAGAAGATACAAATGAAGGCATTATAAAACTCTTGTATCAAAGAACATGACATTTAAACTATCAAAATTTCATCCATCTGAGCTATAGATATTGTGTCAAAGATATCCATCATCTAATACTTGTCAAGACTATTTACTTAGGTTTTCAACTTGAAAAAAATACACAAAAAAAGAGTTGCTAAGAAAAGCTAATATATAGCACTAACACCTTTTATATTAATCCATACTCATTTGTATGATCAAATAAAGAAGTCATTAGAAAAGCCATAATATTTTTTAACTATAATCGATGACTATTTTAGATATATTTAGATCCATTTAAAAAAAACCAAGGATAAAATTATAAACAAGTTCAGAGATTTCTTAAGATATATGAAAAACTAATTCAAACGGATTGTACAAAGGGGGAGAAATTGAATTAGAAGAATTTAAATAATTACTAAACAACAAAAAATTAGACCTAAGTTATTGCCACCATTTAAATTTCACTAAAACAAAGTCTTTAAAGAAAGAATTGTATCTTTATGAATTATACATTTATTGATTATAGCTAAAGCATTAGACCATCTTTAGATTGAAGTTTATTTAACATGTGCATAATTGATTAGCATATTTCCAAAAAAAGCTAACAATGGACTTATTTTATATGAAAAATTATTTGGTGTCAAATCATATTTAGAAGGAATTTCAATTTTTAGTTGCACAATATATGTGCATATTAAATCTTATCAAATAAAATTAAAATCAAAAGTTATAATGTATAAGTTTGTTGCATATGATAAAACTTCTAAAATATATAGGTGTTTTGAGCCTATGAAAAGAAAATTAAGCTCTCTAGAGATGTTCAATTTGACAAAATTATTATTTGAGGTGACATATATGTACAACTAGAAGAAAAGCAAGGTGGTATTTTTTGGCATCAAGTGCATAACTATGACAAAGAAAATTAGGATAGGAAAATAATTTTAGATGGAACAAAAGCAACAAAGAATAATAAAGCAAAGCTATATACATTATTAATTCTTTTAGTCCTATATAATACACTAGAAATTATACTTGTAGAGCTGTAGTAGAAACAACAAAGTGAGCAAACATTGAGCAATAAAGTATCAAGGACATAAATTACAGACAATAAAAATCTCAATATATTCTTGTGTCACTCAAAAAGAGTAGATATTCATTCAAAATAGTATAATATCAAAATTAGAATAGCTATTGCTAAAGACAAGAAGAGTAGATACTGTTGAAACAAGAATAAGAACAAAAAAAGGCATTGAGAAGAGTGAAGAAGGCTTCAATCTTGGCTCCATATATACTATCTAATTAAGAGCTATGTAGCAATGTTCTATAGGACCTCTAATACATGTCCAATTTGCAAGACATGTGTCTAATTTATAAGAAAAGTTTCTTAAATGTACACCAAATGGCAAACTTATACCACAAGTTGCTAATATATACAACACATGGCCAACTTGTTGGCCAAGTTTTTAACCAACCAATCAATTACAAACAAGTATAAAGTCAAATCCACATTAATGAAGCATTTAAAAAGCTCGTTCACAAGATATTATTAAATCTATTTACATTTATTTTCTACCTAATACTTCTTAACTAAATAATTATGAATGTCCATGATAAAAAAACAAGACTTGTAGCTAGTGGCTTTGAGCAAACTAAGGGAATTAATTTTGGAGAAACTTTTGTATATGTGGCATGCTGGGAAACAATCCAAGGACTTATTGCAATTACTGCACACAATGACTAGGAGCTCAATCACATCGCCATGGAATTTGCCTTTCTCTATAAGGACTGCTACTTATTGTATATATTTTTGCTCTACCACAATTTCATCTGTTACTTGGTGAAATGTGATGAGGTACTAATACAAAATTTAAACCCCTAAGTTGAAACTTGGCTCATGGCTCCAAAGTTGATAATGCACTCAGTATTTCAATTTCTTTTCCACCCCTACAATGACATCTTCCTAGTGTGGATCCTAGCAACAATCAGAAGAGCTATGAGTCTCTCACGACTATTGTACATAGGATTGAAGGCGTTTACAAGGGAGAATCTCATGCGGAGATGAAATGAACTTGAAACAGGTTACCTGCAATTAACAGATTATAATAGCTAGGCTGAAGACATGGGCCAAGGCCTAGGTTTACGTATTTGGAATATCCTGAAAACCTGCATCAGAGAATTTGTAGTGGCACAAACAGGAGGAAAAATACATAATAAAAATTGGTGTATGTTGTTATTAAAGATATAAATACAAAAAATAATGTCATTCAGACGCTTATTCATTTTCTGAATGCTTCAATGTTGACTGTATCGTGATCATCACAAAAAAATCAGAGAATCGATTCAATCACTGTATTTACACGTGAGGCTAATTCTACCATCTGCCAATCTTTACTGGTACAAAGAATTATTCAAATCCGGGTATACCTAAAAGAAATGCTTTGCTAGGATTAAATATGCAAAACCAAAGTTGTTATACAAAAGAAAATTGGTTTGATCATGTGCCAGCAATGGGATAATTCGCAAGCCTATTCAGGCCAGGCAGCATCTGTTCAGGGATTCTCTGGCGCTTTATCTTGATATCAACTTCAGAGCCGGCGAGCACAGAAGAAGGTTCCTGGAGGACGGTGCATTTGGATGGGTGATCTGCAGGCCCAGACATTTTCGAGTAGCTACTCGCAACTGATGCATTCGAAGGAGTTGAATGTGCACTTGGTATATGGGGCACAGGGGTAAGCAGATCAGACGGTGCTGTCAACATACATTGCTGCAAGCACTGGCGTAAGGCCAATGAAATACGACCTGGCTTTCCTGCAAACCAAGGAGGGGCCGTTAAAAGCAAATTCCATCTATGTATCGAAAAGTTTGTATACTTTTCAGAAATTTCACACATGCTGGGGAAGAGAGTGAGCAGTAGGCAGAAAACAAAACCAAGGCATCGTCTGTGGAGCCCAATAGAATTGTAGGGCAGGGCATACCGTTTCCAACTGGTTTTCCATCCCATTCCACAATAGGTAAGACCGTCACAAAACTACCCAAGAGCATCATTTCTGCAGACTTCTTAGCTTCTGCAAGTGAAATCTTAGCCAACGTCACACCCTTCAGTCCCGGTATGATGTTCTTCTTCACCAGCTCCGGTACAAGCTTCAGCAGTCGTCTTGCTGTGCACCCTGGTAGTATTGAATCAAATGGAGGAAGCAGTAGTTCGCCCTCAGATATAAATCCAACGTTCAAATTATTCCCCTCAGCTACGTTGCCTTCCTCGTCCAACCAAATGCCAGCTTGTGCGCCTTTCTCCTCTGCCTCTCGCAAGGCTAATGCATTTGGGAGGTAGTTCGTGGTTTTCATAGTAGCAAACATTTTGGGTTTGATAGGCACAGTAGAGGTGACCACCTGCAAACATACTTGCCCTTAATATTCCCTCCATTAATAAATGGAACTAATGCAAATCAAAGCAAAATCTTTCAATAAACACAAGCATTCAAGTCCAGAAGTACATCAACTTGCAGAACGCAGGTCTCATAAGTGCCGAAATGAGCTTGTTTTCAGTCTCAAATCAAGCAAAAAATGATAGGTTCTGCAGAAAGCAATATTCAGATGTGCATCGCAGCTGCTAAAGTTGCATCGAGTGAACTCATTGGAATAGCTTGAGTAAAGGACTTACCTTGAGTGGAGCCACTTTTTCATCGCTGATGTTTTGGATAGGGCTTCTCTCCAATAGACAGGCATAAAGTGATGCCTCGCAGTTCTTAGTAGACAATTCAAAATTCCCTCGTCCGGCCGACAGCCAGAACCGTAGAGTCCCATCTTTACAGCTACCGGCTGCCACAGTTTGCATTAGGATCTCTCGTATCATTGCCCGATTGAAGGGTGGTAAAATCTTCGCTTTTGCAGCTGAATCAAGAAAGCGATCCAGATGAGTGTCAAGCTCGTAAAGATTCCTGCACGAAATAAAGGCAATTTTAGAATCATGCAAAACTTCTGGTGCATTGTTTTGAGCGTTAATTTGAGCTGAGATCTCCCAAAAAAATTCAGTTCCGCACCATAAGGCTCGGCGTTCTGAACTAACACAACTAGCCACATGGACTTCATAAAATGAATGCCAAAGAACTCATCACAGAACTGTAACACATACACGTGCGCCCTGACTCTATTCTAGTTGTTATACAAAAAAGACCAGCTGACGCAAAGTTGTAGAAAACAAATGAATGATAGTGGGACAATCATCTATTACCCGTTAACAAGGGTAGTAGTATCGAAAACAGAATGACCTCTGTGCACCATATGATCATCAAGTGGTACGACCATAGCTGCAACATCTGTTGTAATAGCACCGACGACGCTAGAGTACATCGATCGAAAATTCTTATATTTGGCTTGACTAGCTTCAACTTGTAGTCTGAGAATAATCTGCACCAACCATTAGTCATCACTCGTCAATAAGCTTTCACATACATTCAAACTTGAAGTACCTGACAGACAGTGGCGCTTAAATTCAGACTCCTTCACTGCGTATCCTCAAATCTAAGTTTTGCTCAGGTAAAAGTGGTATTTGTATCACCTCCATGTATTCGAACTAAACATACAAAGGTGACAATGATTAGATGCAATAACGTGAATTAAGGCGATATCCTGACCTCCGCAAGCCCAAGGACTGGTATATTGACATTCGAAGATCCATTGATCGGCACTTCAGCTTCTTCACAAGCCCTGCCCAGCAAGCAACTGGATTAATTTTCACTTGATTGCAAAGAAAGCATCAAATATCAAAACAAACTGGGATTCACAAAAGCCATTGCTTCTGAAGAAGAAAATCCTAGAGCTTTCCTAGAACTCGCTGATGGCTGGTACACCGCAAAAATGTTTTTAGAAAAAAGGTTGTATCACCTGTTCTCAACGAATTGGAATAGTTTTCACACTGACTAACACAAGGCGGCCAACAGAACGTGCACTTCTCCAGAACTTGCAGGACATACAAAGCGGTCCATGAAGGATTGCCTTTTATCAAGAGGGCAGCTAACAAAAAGAATTCCTACAGCGACGCATTCGCCACAGTCATGGACTCTCAATTTATGCTACGAGATTCGCAACAGTAAAGACGGCGGGTTGATTCGGCTGCTACAAGAACATGAGGGACAGCGAGATGACACGATACACAAAAAATTTAAATAGCGCCACCGATGCACTCACATAACACCCCCAATATTTGCATTCTCAATCAAAAACTCTACATACATCTGCAAAATGTGTGATACGATTAGAAGGTCGATGTTCCACAATCTCAATTCACACAGCCACACCTGAAAGTCTCACGCAAACTTGTGGGTCGATGTTCTGAATGTTTGGCACATTTAATGCACATGATTGCCTCCTAAACTGTCAATTTCTAACCAATTTACGCACCAGCGTGACCACCCACTTAACCTAATCCATACATGAGACCACCAAACGCAAGAAACAGCAACTGAACCGCATTCAACGGAATGTAGTAGTAGAAGTTGACTTCGGATGAAAACACATAAAACCTAGCGACATTACCTGTTAAGACCAGGCGGGAAGTCGACAGCATCACACTGCGTCGCATCAAGGAAAGCCATAGCTGCGGCGGACTTCAAGAGAAGATATTTGTTACTCTGGACTTAAAAGGGTGATGCGAAGGAAATGTTGACAGTGACAGCCTGGGACTTCAAGCTTGTATTTATACTTTTCACCCAGTAACTGTTCGCTTACGAGGGTCATCACCTCAAACCACATTGTGCACGAGCTATTCATGGTACCCAGTCATTCGAATCGTAAACAAATCGGTGAACACTTGTCTTTTTGGTCTGGGTGGGCGTCCTATCACACAGCTAATCTTTTGGACGTAATGCTTCTAAGCTGAGCATCCAATCGCGCTATATTCAGCTGGTCAATTGCTGCAAAAAGAGTCAGACATCTGACGTCAGTTGTGAAAAGAACCAGATCCCGCACTGCTGAAGGTGTAATTGAGGACAGGCGAACCGCAGCCGCACACACAAAGAAAGCTCGGTTCCAAACTTACTCGATTTCCTGTATCCTTTCCCTTACACGGTCTCGAAATACTGCTGGTTCAATCCTAAGTTCACAATTAGTGCATGGTTAACCACCACTGCCACACGGCATCGGCAGTGTTAGCCTACACCTCTTTCTATTAGTAGAAAAGGATTAAACCCCTCGTGTTCCATAAATGAACAAATAATGCTGGTCTTTAGACTTATTGCATATGCGTGTGATGTATAGAACAGGGGACGTTCTTAGGTGGATAAGAGAAACGGTTTCGAGCGAATACAGATTCTCCACGAGCCTCTAAAGGTATGAAGGAAAAGAGTGCGTCAAAATTCCTATCCATCAGCGCGCCGCAGTACCTGTGTGTTCAAATCTCTTACATCGAAGTATATGCACTTGGAATCTTTTTGAGAAGAACATTAGCTGATAACACTTCTGAGGAGGGGAAAAAATAAATAAATAAATAAATAAATCATGAGATGCTTAAAATACGACAAAGTCGTAACGAACATTGAGTTGATGAACCAAAGTCACTCGACGCATAAGTCCAAGACATGATGGAACCACGGTTGGTCACATAAAAATAAAAAAATCTATTGCGAGTGGTTTAGTGACCTCCATGATTTCCCAACCACTCGCGATCCTCGTGTATCCACCCGACGTCACTTTGAACGAAGACATCGGCGCATTACTCGAAGGTAGAGGAATAGGATGCTGTCATTTGTCACCGCTCTGGATTTACTGGTCAGGTACCACACATCGACAAAGAAAACATCGAGATAACAAGTAGAATATGTATATTAGCCTCACCTTTCGGGGGGAATCTCCGGGCTCGCTGCATACATTTGGTCGCAGCCGGTTCTTTACCCCTTCTTGCTCCATCAGCAAAATATAACGCTGCTGGAAAAAAATTTGTAACACTGTAATGGTGCCGAATTCCTCAAACCTGTAAGCCCAATTTCGAATCGAATGCAGCACCATCGCTCCAGATTGAAATTGCAGATTAACCATAAGAAGCAACAGATTGCGGTTATAATCTGCAGCAGTGAGGAGCCAGCAGCTGAGTCACATGAACAGCCACACTCCAATCGCAAACCTGTTTTTTCAAAAAAGTTCCGCTCTCTACCGTATAGATCCATTTGTCAACACGACGGAATTATGTGGAGCAGGAACCATCGGACAGGTCGCCACAGATTATCAGCGAGTCATGCACCGAGGAAGCAAGAACGTGTACTCTACTTCAAGCATGCCAGGGCTGCGTCGTTTTCCAGGTGACCTCAAAACCGATCGGCTCCGGATCCACCACCGCACGCACTCACTTCGCAGCACGTCACAGAGCACGCACGCACGCACGCACGCAATGATGCTCGCAGTTTTGAATGCAAGGAAGGTTTGCGGTGACGAGATCATCGTCACAGCAAGAGGAGCACAATTCGCACAGTTTGCACAATCCCTCCCTCATTGCTTCATCCGCCATGGAGACGAGGCACAACCGCTGGAACACAGGTCTATATATTATTATTAGTATACATTCTACTTGTCTCAATGTATGTATGATGAGGAAAGAAAATCAAGAAAAATTTGTGTTTAAAAACAAGAAAAATGTTAGAATGGTTGCAAAAAATAAAATAAAATAAAATAAAACTGAACCATTTTGACATATTGAAATGTAAAAAGAAACATTGGCATGATTTAAAACCATTTCGTTTATTCTTTTATACAAGTATTAGTCAATAAAAACATCATATAAAATCTCTTAAAATTCTCTAATTCTGTACATTTGTATTTTAAATGTGGTAAAGTTCTAAAAGAAGTTTTAATAGGTTTGTAAAGTTTTTGGAAATACTTGCATGCGTGTTAACATTTAAAAAGTTTCTATTATATTTTTCAAGAAAGATACTATTTATTAATTTATTTACCTAAGTAATTTAATTTTTTGTAATATTACTTTTTTTCTAGAGATAAATTTCAAAAATAGTAATAAAATACTAAGTTGTATTTAGAAGTTGATAAAATAATGTAGATAAGTCAAACATAATATGTCATAAAATTTTAGATATTAACAAGATTTCATATCATACTAAAAAAATACAAAAAAAAAACAAAAAAACAAACAAGTAGATATCAGATAATCATTAAAGTCTTTATAGCCATTTTAAAAAGAAATTTTAAGAAATATCACAAAGTGTAGAAGCTACTCCTAATAATATCACTAAGCACAAAGAATTGCTTTTAAAATGATAGATCCAAAATTATTAGAAAAATATTTATTTTTATTAATAAACCTAGTGAATAAGTTGATTATTTACAAATAGTAATTCTTATAATCAATTAATTTTTTTCTTTCTTTTAAAATAAATTTATAAAACATGAGAAACCAATATATATTTTTAAAATTTAAATCATCTTCTTATTATCATCTTTATATTTAATTATTAATTCTTAAATATTTAATTTAGTCATTTTTTTAAAAGATAGTATAGATAAAAAAAAATCTTTAAAATGTATTAATAAAATTTATTGATAGAATTAATATGTGTTATTAATTATTATCTATTTTAATAAGAAATATAGGTAATGCATTTTTTTGATATTCTGATTTTTTAATAAGCTTTGGAGAGGAAAAAAATTTAAATATGATAAATCAATACTAATTATAATTAAATAATATTTTAAATTATTATATTTTTTTCAAATCTAATATGTGTCAAGGGCATGAATCATAAAAAACCTCTAAAGAAGCATTATATTCTTGTGACATTCAAAGAGAGAAAGTAGACCAATAAAAAATATATATAAGATAAAAACTAAAATGACAGTTGCCAAATATAAAGAGACAAGAGATTCTTAAATTGAGATAAGAACATATGAAAGGTATTAACAAGATTAGAAAAGGCCTCACTCTTGCCTTTAGATATATATATATATATATATATATATATATATATATATTATTTGCTAAAGAACTATATGGCAATGACCTATAGGTTTTATGATATGTGTCCAACTTGCAAGATACATGTCTAAAATTTAGGGCGAGTTTCCAATTTAAGTGCTACATGCCAAACTTGTAATATAAGTGGCTAAACATGTGACATATGGCCAACTTGTCAATCTACCAACGACTTATAACTATGTATAAAGTCTACAATATTTTTAGGGAAATTTCCATGAAGATATCAATAATTGAACATACTTCTAATTACTTCTATTTACTTCTATTTATATTAATAAACATACCCATAAATATGGCTATCTATAAAAATATGCTATAAAATTAATTAGTCTTATTATTACAAAAAAATAATTATATCTTATTATTAACTTCAATAAAGTAGAATAGTTGTTTAAAAAGCTCTTGATATCTTAGTATCTTTATAATCAATTATCCTAAATATTGATTGTAATAGTTAATAAAATTAGAAAATTATAAGCAACAGTTACCTTATTTGTATCTATCTTATAATATTTTTTATTTTTATAATTTTTTATGTATAAAAATATTAATAATTAAATATAAAAAAATATATAAGAAATGAAATTATAAAGAATATATATATATATATATATATATATATATATATATATTTCAAATAAATTTTTTGAAAGACTAAAGTTAGATTTATTATTGTTTCTTTATAAAGTAGCTAATAATAAATTTATGTAAAAGATTATTAAAAACAAAAAGACTTGTAAGAAAATTATTAAAGTTCCAAGATACTTCTACAATGATTTTGTAGAAGTAAGAGACTTTTAGAATTTATTTTGCAGTAATATGGTGTATCTATAGAAATTTATAATATAATATGCATTTTTTTATTTAATAAAAATATTAAAAATAAAAGTCTATAAATTATGAATTTAAATAATATAATTTATAATAATTTATAATACATATATATGAATACTAGATTAAGAAGCATAATAATAAAATAATTTATATGATACACTACAAGAGATAAAATCATTATAAAAAATTAATAAAAAATAAATAAAGCATTATTATTTAATATCTGAAATTCAATCATTAAAAAAAATGAAAATAAAATATCAAGTTATATAATACAAAGATATAAATGTTATTTAAATTGAATATGCTATCTATAAGTGGCATGTAAGTTATTTTTTAAAAAATCATAATATATATATATATATATATATATATATATATATTAATATGATAAATTTAAGAAAAAATAATTTTTTTGTATAATTAAAATGTTGAATTCTTTATTACATGATATTTATGACATTTGATGTTGTATTATTGAGGTTTTAAAAATTGACAAAAATAAGTGTAAAAATAATATTTAAATAATTATAAAATACTAAAAATATACTTTATAATATATATAAAAATATTTATAATTAAAAAAATACTAAAAAAAACCTAAATGTGTTTATTGATATCTATGTCAAGGATATGAATCACAAACAACCAAAATGTCAATATATTCTTGTGTCACTAGAAAAGATTAGATAATAATTTAAAGATTATATGAATTTAATATTAGAATAACTATTGCCAAAGTCAAGAAGAATAGAGACTCTTGAAACAAGACTAAAAATAAGAAAGTTATCAATAATAAAGACTTTAGTTTTTGTGAACTAAAAAAATTATATTTGGAGTATTTTGTGAAATTTTTAGTAGATCTAAAGAATAAATATTTTTGGATTTGTGATTATAATTGTGTTTAATTTCTATTATAAGTTTAAACTTAATTGGACGGTTAAATTAAAGGTTAAAGAAAATCAAGTGGGTTGAGATTTTTGAAATTGAATTTTAGAAGGCAGTGAGTTTTTCTAAGATATGCAACAATTGCAAGCTAGATTGAGGTGAAATTTGATGCATTAATAAAAATCTTAGTTTCTAATAACTTTGAAAATTTTGAGAGGAATTAAATAGTGAATACAAGAGATATTAGTATTGAAAGATCAACATCAAGATTAGAGAAGGAAACCAATAGACACACAAGCAAATTAAGAGGTTTTATTTTTTATTTTTTATTTAGTAACTTTTATCTTCTTCAATTTTTTTGTGCTTATTTTCAACTAAAAAATTAGGAGATGTGAAAATTTTGAATTAAGATCAATAGTTGAATTATTAGTAATTAAAATTTTGAATTTGTTATAAAATTTGATTAGAATTATTTAAGATTTTATTAGGATTTTTTTGGAATTTGGTAAGGATTTGATTAAGATTTGGTTAATATTTAGTTTGGATTTCATTAGAATTCGGTTAGGATTTGATTAGAATTTATATTATAGATTATTTATAATTTATTTGGAATTGATTAGAGTATGATAAGATATGTCTTGGATTTTTTTTAAGATTATAGAATGTACTTAGGATAATTAAAATCTTACTTAGGTTATTGAAGGTTATCAAAGAGAATTTTCAAATATCTTATGTATTATTGGAGGTTGTAAATTAAACTTCAAGGTAACATCAAATCCCTCTACAACCAAATGCCCAATGCATTTACAAGTTAATTTTGATATAACACAACAATGTAGCCAATTTTTTGGCCAAGTTTTCAATCTGTTAATCATCTATAGAAATATATAAAGTCAAATCCATGTCTTTAAAGCTTCTGAGAAGCTTTTTCATAAAATATTGACAAATTTACATATTTTTATTTAATTCTATTTAACTTCTCTTATCTAAGTAATTACATGTGTTGGTTATATCTATGACAATCTACTAAACTTGTTAATCTTACTAATTATCCTCATGATACCATTGACATACAATACATTAAAATAAATTAAATTCTTCTTAATAAAATGAAACAATATGGCTCCATGAAGTTTTGTATTTCCAAGTTTAATGACTATAGGAGGTTGTTCTTTTACACTATTTGAATTATTCAATTCAATATTAAGCTCAAGTTTCACACATAAATCAATATCCAAAGCTATTTGTACTAATTTATTTGTATCTATGTCTTCTTTTGAAATATCTCTTTTTTTCATATCAATGTAAGCTTCTAATAACGTATGACTATTTCTTATTGATGTTTTATTTTTATTTTTATAGAAGATGAAAGCTCATTTGATTTTTTTTAATCAATATTTTTTCACTTTACTTACTGTTGCAAAATTTTCATTCCATGTTAAGAACAATATCTTAGACATTTTTCAGCAATTGTAAATAATTTGGAGGTCCATATTTTGTCATATCAGAATAAATTTGCATACTATGACAATATTTATTCTACAAGTTTTTGTTTGTGCTTTATCTTGAATGAAGCAATTATCTCCTAGTTTAGACATTGTACCACATTGGTCACATTTGGTGGAAGAAACACTAAGATTAAATTACTCAAAGTTAATGTAAATAAATCATGAGATATCCCAAATTGAACACTTGACACACTATGATACTATGCATTGTCAATGATCATGATTACTTATTTCTTTTAATTTGTGTAGTTGTTGTTGATTCAAAGAATCCAATCTTCAAAAATAACCATCTCATCTATATAGTTCTATTAAAATATCACCAAATATATTTTCTTTGCTACTATCTTTTAATACATCATGATTTCTTTGATTTGTAAATCAACACCAACTTCAAGTTATCTATTCAAATAGTACTAACAACAAAGGCAAGAATGCAAAAAATCTTTTAAAAGTTCTTGTCATTTCACATTTCATTGTGGTAGTGTCTTATTTGGCTAGGCCTTGAAATATTTGAAATATAGTCCAGTCTCACCCATACCATAAACATCCTTTGATTTATAATTTGATAAAAGAATTAATAGTTGGCTTAAAGCTTGTGTTACTCTAATGCTTGAAGCATCTCCACTCAACATATAATAGCATCTATCCAACAAAGAAAAAATGTATCAAAATTATGTCTATGTGGCATGGCACCATGATGGTTTTTTTCATTTTCATATAATTTTATTGAACATATGATTGTTTAAGCTTGTGGAATTGGTAGGTCAGTTGCTAATATTAAAGTGTCCAAGTCATTGCTAATGGTAAAAGCTTCATAAATTCTTTTTAAAGAAATAATTAATTCAATGTGTCAATGAAGAATAATAGTGCAGTACCTTGCAATCTTATATCTTTTTTCGAATTTCTCAAACCATCCATTTGAGAAATTGAAAAAAAGACATGAGATACTTGAAGCACAGATATTTTTCCACCTTTTCTTAATCATATAGAAATTATTTTAAAAATAAAGCTTTGAACTTTGTAGCCTTCTTGAGCAACATGTCATTTGTTATAATTCCATCTTTTGACCTTATTTGTAAACAAAGAAAGAACAAAAAGTACAATTAAAATAAATATAGAATAATTATAAAACTAGCTAGTGTGAACAACTTGTAAAATGAAAAACAAAGACATAAATTATTATGAAGTTGCATGGCCTTGATTTCCTTTGAGAAATTATCTAAAATGATATGTTAATTCATTTGATGACATGATATTGCATGGTTCTATGGTGTTATAAGTAGTCTGAGGTAGAAGTAATCATATATTTGAACCATGCCAACAAAGCAGATTCAAGCTCTGGATATTTGGCCTCTTACTCTCTTTTCCAATCTTTAGCAACATCATCAATGACTACTGCATGTTTTGAAGAAGTTTTGATGACTTGAAAAACTGTATTTTCCTATACTTGTTTCTTAAGTTTATGAGTGAGTTTGTTAGCAACAGCTAGTTGGGTTGGATAATATTTCTATCTTCTCCAAAAATATGAAATCAATTCTCTTTTTATTTACTGGTACCCTCTGTATTGAAAAATAAATGCATGCCATCAAAAAGCAAAATATTAGAGTGATTCACTGGCCAGACAAACTTCAAACACATGTCTTACTTCCTTCTACATTGAAAAAGAACACATGCTGTCATAAAAAATAAAATCAGAATGACTCAGTAATCATGCAAATTCTAAACACATGCCACAAGGAATCAATCTTATGTCTCAATAAACATCTTAAATTCCGTAAATTGTTCAAGCACTTGAATTTGTGAGAAGCTATTGTCATATTTGAAAGAAGAAAGAATACTAAGACTTAAGCATCAAGCAAACTAGTACCAAGCATTCAAACACAAAGTTGAAAATAACTTATACAACTATATTGGAATTAATATTGAACCTAGTAGAAATCCTAAGGATTGTTTTCTTGAAATCTTTTATAAATGAATGAAGTATTGCATTTCTTTTAAATATCTATGATTTGGATGAAATTCATCTACATTAAGTATTAGTTACCTATATTATGTAACAAATAGGAGGTCTTGATTGTCTTATAACAATAGTTGTATTATAGGTAGAGTTTTGAACTAGGTAAATTGGTCAAGCTAAAATGTGTCGTATGGTTTAAGTTGTTGTATAACCAAGTGACATATTAACAAGGTTAGACTATAAAAACATAATATTTGGTAAAACAAAACTGAAAAAATAAAATTAAACAGTATACCAAAATAACAAAAAAGAAGAAGGGGGGGGGGCCTATTTAATTAAAACCATATGTATATAAAAATATTGAATCTAAAATTAGAGAATAATATTGCATAAATTTTAAAAATATAAATACATAAAGTTGTAAATGTATCAGATATTAAATTTTCTAATAATTTATATGTTTTGAAAATAAAAAATAAAAAATATCATTTAGCATATCATATTTAAACTTACAAACATCTAATACTATGTACTCTAAGGTGGCCTAAAACGTTTAGTAAAATTAAATAAATTATATAATATAAACCTTTAGTTTTAACACACACACACACACACACACACATATATATATATATATATATATATCAACATATACATAAATATATGAATAAAAATATTGAAAATCTTGCAATATGTACCAAATATTTATTTAAGATTCACTAATATAAAACCTTTGAGAAATAAAATAACAAACATCATAATATTTATTGGAATGTTGTAAAACAGAAATAAAAATACACTAATATTTTAATAGTTTTTATATAAACATTTGGAAACCCATATCTGTCCTTGCAAAAAGAAAACTAGTCTACTGATTAGAAAACAACTATACAAGCAACAAATTTTACATGATGAAATGGCTGGACTAGCCCACAACATCATTTGATAATGAAATAGAATCCGTTTTGATTTACCGCCTACTGCCGCCTGTTGCCGCGTGTTAATGCGAACTGCCGCCATATGCCGCTGTATGCCGCCCGCCGACGTGTTTGGCAGCGTGTTGCAGAGAGTCGAGTGCCACGAAGAGACGCCGAAGGGGGAACGACAACGCGGTATCGGCATTGGCACACAGCATCCATCGGTGACGGTGGGTTGCAGCACGAAGTCCAAACCCCGTACTGATCGGCGCAGTGCTGAGCCGCGTGCTTATGTCTCTGTCCCTCAGCTTTTAATAGGTTCCATTGCCTATGAAAAGAGAAGAGAAAACAAATTCGGTAGGTTCCTTTGAATTACGAAGGGCTTTGACTGCTTTCGGTGAGTTCTGCGTTGCCTGACGAAGGGAAACGCCATAGCTGTTTTGAGTCTTGCACGTGGCGATTTTCCAGTTCCATCTCGTGAGTGTGTCGAGCAGAGAGGTCGTGCTTCTCTCGGGAACGAAGGATTCGCATATTTTTAGCAATTTGCAATAGGAGCTGCGTCGACTCGAATTGCCTTCAGCTGAATTAATCGTGGAGTCGGTGAATTTAGCCGCCTGGGGTGGTTGTTTAGGGGGCCGGGGGTGGAGATGGGGCAAGCGAGAGATCGCAGACCGGATGCGCTGGGGGATTTTTGTGTTCTCCCCGATGAGTTGCTATGTTCGATACTCGCGGCCTTGCCCCCTCGAACTGTCGGTACTCTAGCTTGCGTGAGCAGGTACGTGGTTTCTCTTGCAATACAATTGTAACTTGCGACCCATGAGCATTTGAATTGCGATGAATGACGGATCCTTGGGTTCATGATTTCTGAAGTTGCTACCTCTTATTCAAAATTTTATGTGGGGCACGACGGATTGATGTTCAAGGTTGTCATGACCTTCTGAAGTCAATGCTGATCATGGAGCTTTCGTGGGCAATGTAGCGTGTTTTATATTCTCTGCAATGAGGAACCCTTATGGATGCATATATGTCTCTACCAACATCATGGGGGATATTTGAACTTTGAAGGCTCTTGGCGTCAGTCAGCCCTCGTCAAGTGGGTATTTTTTCGTTTCTTTTTTATGCCATGGAATAGCAGTATTCTAGAGATTTAAAATATCTTTTGGATATCGCGTTCTTTCAATGGTCTACCCTCTCTCTTTTTCTTTTTTTTTTAAAATTTTTATTGACCTCAGTTTGTTTTGGTTATTTTTCTATCTGTTTATTTGTGGATTTTAATAAGCCCTTCAAAATTCTAGCTAGTAGTTGATTATCCACGAGGGAAGAGTGTGGTTGCTGAATCTTTTCGTGAGCTTAGCAAGTTGCAAATGGTTGTGTCGATTTTAATGGATGCTGATAATTGGGATTGTTTTACTATACAGGCTGGGCTACGTTAAGGCGGGAACGTCAGTTGTTAAGCCACCCCTGCGCTTTGACGGTGAGTGTGCTCAGTATAGACTCCTTCGATCACAGGGATCATGCTCAGAAGATAGATAAGCGCATTACTTTGTAGAATATCACAATGCTGTATGAATTAACATTTCTGAATGTATATTTATCAGGTTTCAGTTCAATGTTCCTGTACAAACGCTGGTACCGTTGCAACATTGCATTAGAGAGTTTTGCTTGTGACACGGGTGTTATTGAGCGAAGAGAGAATCTTTCTTTGGATGAGTTTCGTTCTACCTACGATGGCAAGAAACCGGTAAGAGTCATCTAATCGCATTTTTCTTTGTTTCCATGAACACCTATTTGAGAGTTCTGTCTAAGAATCTCGTTTCTTAGGATAAGTTGGGAACGCTGGATTGTGCAGGTCATGATTTGTGATTTAACGAAAGTTTGGCCAGCTCAGAAGACATGGACAATGCCTCAGCTAGCAGATAAATATGGGGATGTTAGTTTCAAAGTGTCTCAAGCTCATGGCAAGAAAATCAAGATGAAATTGAAGGATTACGCTGCATACATGGCTTGCCAGCATGACGAGGAGCCCCTTTACATCTTTGATGCTAAGGTTTAGGGCTTCCTTTATATGTTTTCCATTTCTTGACCTTCTATATAAATCGAGTTGAGACTTGATTTATTTATTTTGTGGTTGTTTCTCTAGTTGTTTGTTTATTTATTTATTTCTTGCAGAATACTAACTGAAATCTACCATAACCAAGTATTATTTTGGATAAAGATTTTTGTGGTTCAACTTATTTATTAATATAATTTGCTTTCCTAGAATATCTCATTGAAAAACTGTGGTTGATGCTATAGTTTGGGGAATCGGCGCCTGAGATGCTGGAGGAATATAGTGTTCCACCATTGTTTTCAGAGGATCTGCTTGCGGTTTTGGACAAGCCCGTTCGTCCTCCTTTCCGGTGGTTGGTTGCTGGACCTGCACGGTCTGGGGCATCATGGCATGTAGATCCTGCACTTACGAGTGCTTGGAACTCTCTTCTTTCGGGACGCAAAAGGTATGCAGTAATTATGAGCTCTGCTATGCAATATGTTTGTGAGAAAATCATGATGGACTACATCACATAAGGTCTAGGAGGAAAGTAAAAAGTTATATTATAATGCTGGGGATATAGTGCTACATATTGCATTCAGGATGACTGATGTTTTGTGTACAAAGAAATAGACTCTAGTTTCGGCAAGTCAAGGATCTTACATTTTAGCGTCATCTTGCAGGTGGGCACTATATCCACCGGGAAGAGTACCACCGGCTGTCGTTGTTCACGTCGATAAGAGTGATGGCTCTGTGAATTTTGATGGGCCGACATCTCTTCAGGTAAGAGGAGGTACGATAATAGTTGCTATAGTATTGGATGATAATGGTCTCGGTTGTGCGGCTTCACCGTTTAATATTATACTGGTGATGAACTTTGACATGTTACTTGCAGCATGGCCACAGTGATTGAGGGGCAGCTCCCTGAGCTTTACTACTTTTATTGAGAATTTTGGTTCTTTTTCTGACGTTTTTGACTCATCTGCAGTGGTGGTTAGAAGTCTATCCAACATTGCGGGAAGAAGACAAGCCTTTCGAGTGTACACAATTGCCAGGAGAAACTATTTCAGTGCCGAGCGGATGGTGGCATTGCGTGCTGAATATTGATGATTCTATAGCTGTAACTCAGAATTACGTGAATTCCACGAACTTGGAACTGGTCTGCTTGGATATGGCACCTGGGTTTTACCATCGCAGCATTGCTCGAGCAGGTCACCTGGCGATGCAGGAGAGACCGGAAAAGCCTGCCAAGCCGATCACAATTGATCAGGGACTTGATGCCAATTGTGTTGCTCTTGTAGAAAGGTGAGTCACTATCTTACATCAATACTCAAGACATGGCCTTTGTCTCCATTTTACTGCAATGTGCAAAATGGGAAAGCAACACTAGTATCTTCCTGGGACAATTTTCAGTCCTACTTTTTAAACCTCTAATGGAAGAAGTTGCTTTTGTAAAATTCGTCTGAAGAGCAGGGGAATAGTATGGTTCAACTTGCCGCACACACAAAATGCTTCTTTGCTTGTCACACTGCTCTGTGCTTTCTTTTTTGTTTTGTTTTGTTTTGTTTTGTTTTTTTTTTTCTTTCTTTCCAAAGTAGAACGTATGGCCAGGCATTTAGCTGTTGCGTAGAGTTAAATGAAGTACTGATTGCTTGTAGAAATTGATGGAAAAAGTGGAGATGATTTACAGGAACTTGTGCAAATCAGAAGCAGGTGAATTATTAATTGAAAATTTGGAGCGCGATCTCTATGACGCAGACAGCCGCCTTTCGTGTGTTGATGTGGATAATTTAGCTACACATACAGAAAAAGAATCGAATCATTTTACTTCAAGCACCAGTAAAGGCGGCTATTTGGATAGAAATGTACTGCGGGATTGGTTGCGTCGGCTATGGATACTCAGGCCTGACCTTCGTTCACGCCTTTGGAAGGTCTGTATGTTCGACAAATTATCAAAGAAACATCTTCACGGATTGCTTTATGTATTTAATTATAAATAATTTACTTTTTCTTCTGTATGAAAAAGTCGATATCTTGATAACTGGTAAACTAGGTTTATTTATTTATCTTCCAGTCTCATTTGATGAGGCACTTGCTGGGTATGCTTAGTTCATTCTCTCAAGAAGATTGTATCAAGATATCGATTTTTAGTATTTGTGTTTGTATAATTTCCATGTGATGTATCTTGTGCACAACTTCAGACACCTAAAACCTATCCCCTTTAGACTATTTGTAGCAGTAAGCTTCAATGACTTTTAATGAGTTTTTTCTGCAATGTGAAAAACTAGTTTACTAGTTTGTTTTTCTTATTTTTGCCTTATCTTTGGATGGCAGTGTGCGTGCCTCACGGTAGACGTAGAATCCTGGCTGCAGCGAGTCATTGCTATTTGTAAAACTCATGATCTTCCAGTACCTGTTGACGAAGAGCAGCTTCCAGTTGGAAATGGCAGTAATCCGGTGAGCTTTCATTTCTTTCAAAATGTTGATTGAGTTTAATTAAAAGGCCCTAGAAAAACTTTGTCTATTCGCAATCTGCAGATGGTCATTCTTTGATATGCGGAAAATTTGAGCTCAGTTTACTTTTCAGGCTATTGCTTTTGGGATTAGGCTCTAGGAGTGTCTAGGTTTTTCCTTTATCGTGAATATTTGTTCACATCTTTAGCCTTTGCTTATGTTCCAGGTATTTGTCGTTGGAGATTTCGTAATTAAGCTGTGTGTTGAAGAAGGTGGCCCCTGGTTAGCTATCGACGGACTGCGGTCTGAGGTACGCTGTCTGGTCTTTTAGCGGGTCGCGTCAGATCTTCGTGTAAGATTTTGAACCATTGTGCTTACCTAAGGATATATCCTGTCGATTCTCAGTGCTAATGGAGAAGATATAAACTGTGTCCTAGATTTTCATATTTTATCGGATTAAGTTGAGATTGTTTTTTTAGTTTAATTCATGGAGAAATTTTTGGCTGAACTTGTTATTGAGAGGATTCTTTCGGTTATCTAAGATGTATAAATTTTCAATTCAGACATCTTAATGCTATGATTGTAGTTGGAACAAAAAATGTAAGTGAGGGAAATTATCAGAGAGGATTTTTGAATGCAATCTGCGAGAAGTTAGAGCTTTCAAATTCTTATTATCCGACTTGAAGAGAAAGTTATGTTATAGAAGTTCTACGTTTTGAGTACAGCGTGGAATACAAGTGAAGCAGATGGTCTTGAAACTTATTGTTTGTGTGTTCACTTATGATGCAGCTTCGATTTTACTCCCTTTTAAACAAAACGGATTCGAAATTAAAGGACGCTATTCCGTCTTTGGTTGCAAGCGGTATTGTGTCTCCAGATGGCAAGGACTACAAAGTCCAACCATGGGATGGGTATGACGATCGTTTCACAGTCAACGAGACTCAACATATTGGAAAGAAAAGACATCGAAACATATCAGAATTCGACAAGAGCAGATGCAGGATCAAATGCTCAGAGACTGAGTTTGTAAGAGTTTCTATTGATGACAACAATGAAGTCTGTGAATATCCTGAGAAGGAAAGCACCGAAATGGATGATGATGCCATTTTTTGGCCATACATTGTTCACAAACGCTGCGATGGCACAAACATGGACAGTGTGTGCGTGTCTTTCCTTCTAATGCCTCGTTAATGTTTTTCTCATTTTTGTAGCTAGTATGAAGCGTTTACTACTTGTACAGTTTTTCTTTATTGTATACATACCATTAAATTGATACATTACCCATGCTTTCAGAAATTGAGTAGATGTCAGGTGCATATGATAATATCATGTTTTTGTGGTAATTCAAGTGTATATTTTATTGATGCGTGGGCTGGAATTGTTCTAGTGGGATTTGAATACTTGATTTTACCTTTGGAGTGAACCCAGCTGATCAACATATTTTATTTTCATTTTTGTGCAGTATGCATAAAATGACAATTGAAGACTACGCAGCTTTAGCTAGCTTTCTTGGCGAACGAGTTCGGCATCTTCATTCCCTGCCTTTGCCATCAACATTGCCGACAACTTGGGCTCAGAAATCCTCAAGGTCGTTTGGGCGAGAGTCCACAAATAACACAGAAACATCAGTCACCTCAGGACACACTGCTGAAGTTAATGGCTCTGCAGCAAAGCAGCGTCCTGATTCGAGCATGTCAATTGAAGGAGAAGATATTGTCGGCCGTGAAAGGAATTTGAAAAATGGGTACGCTGATGGTGATGTGAGCAAATTGGAGGAAGTACTTGGTGACATCCCAAATGCATGGGACCACTTTGTCGGATTGATGCGACAGCAACGTGCGAATGCCTCAGAGCGCTTTGAAGACTGGTAAGTTAAGGATAAGGCTTTATGTATGTCATGTTTTTCAATGAACAGAATCCTTGAAGCAGTTGAAGGGTAGATTTGACTACTTTCAACGTAACTGATATACTCGTCGGTTGACTGCTGTCTAGGGAATCACTACCACCTAAGCTTTTTGAGCAGTTGGATACATATCTTCCTGAAGATCCAGCTGTTCTTGTTGGCTTGCAGAAGGTATGCTTATCGATACTTTTGGTGCAAATTCCTCCACTACCCACATGTCAAGATTTGGGATTGACTTACTACTTTGAGTTTCCATATGACAGGTTCAAGATGGAGTGGCTACAAGTGCATGGTCTCCTGTATGGCTACACATGGATATTATGACAGACAACATTCAGATGATTCCTTACTCTGTTGACGATTATGTGCCTGGATCAGTCAACCTCAGTCAGATTGCCCGTGAAAACAAGGTCAGTCGTATTCATTAAAAACTCGAGAAACTACCAAAGAAAACCAGTGTGCAAAAAATAAAAGGTTGGATAATTAGAATGGTCTTCAAATTAAGTTTACCTACATTTAGATTTATTCAGGGTCAAGTTAAGAAGCAGGCGCATGAATTTAAGAGCAGATTTAACTAGGGTTTTTACCTTTTACAGGACACTTCTGAACGAGTGATGCAAGCTCGATATATTCTGGACTTTGGGGATGTGACGCTTGGTAAGTATGCTACCAAAAAATTACTAGGTTCAAACTGTTTGCGTCTGCCCATATTTTCAGGAGTAGAATGAGAGGTTTATTTTATTTTATTTTATTTTATTCGTTTATAAGTACAATATATTGTCATCTCACCATAGTTTCCAAGATTCGGAAACAATCCTGTCACGTTTTATGTTCGTACTTAAAACCACTGCAAATGCCAAAATTGCTTCCGTGCAGGGGACCCTTTATATGAGTTTTTGGCTATGCATGTGAGCGTTTTCAAGCTGGAACCACTCTTGTTGAAAATTGCATTGAAGTCGTACGGTCTTCCCCTGAGCATTCCCAACACGACGAGCAATGGATCAAATAAAGATTTTACTCGGACATCGTATAGAGCCATGTATGCACAATTCTATCCATTACTATTCTCTTGTTTTACCAACACTGCCCCTTTTACACATTATGTGAATCAAGTGCGAATATAAAGGTTTTTGACCCTGTTTTTTGCAAATATGGTGTGTAGGTGCTACTGTCTGCTACATGAGCATGACGCCATGAGCGCTATTTTTAGGCAACGCAAAGACTGTAGAAATGCAGACTCTCTTGAAGAGTTAGAAGAGAAGCTTTTGGGTTTTCTAAATGAGTGGAACCCTGAAGCACCGTGGAAGTTGGATTCCGTGTTTGATTGAATGCTTACAAGGTTATCTTCAGACCATTAGCCTAGTCAGTAGCAATTCATAATTGATTCATATCAAAATTGTGACAGTCCTTTTGTAACATAATATTGATTCAGCAACTAGCTTAGTTCGCGGTGTTGCACCATAAAATTTCGTCTTTCTGATTTTTCGAAGCCAGTGTCAGCTCTGTTGTTGGGTTTGAGAGCTCGACCATGTAACGAAACACACCAGTGTGCAAATCTTCCAGTGCTTCACCTTACATGTCTATATTACAACAACAATCCAAACACCAGCAACTTAGTATCCCTTAGATTGTGAAGGCTCTGTTCACAAGCCCAAATACTGGTAATACTAGTACTTGTGGATGTACGAGCTGTTAAATCTCATGTGCTGATGGAAATACAGCATTGCATGAGGCTAGAAATCTTGAACCCAGTTGACACTCTGAACCGCACCATCGTTGTGTGATTCTGCTCATACTACACCACAGTAGTAGCAAGTCTGGAAGCACAACTTGAGGGAACATTCCACCCAAGGCATTCATTCAAGTCCACATCAGAGGTAAGCGTAGTTTCTAATTGGTGATTATTACTTATCACATGTCGAACTATATACTCTGACGAGCAACGGCGGAAGGCTGAGCTGAAGCTGCGCCTCCTTGTATGGAGATTGTGGATCTAAAGACCTAACGGATCGGGATCAAGCAAACTGATGAACAGTGATTGGAGAAATTCATCAGTCGAAGTCTCTCCTCTGTTGAGAGAGACCTTTTCGAGCACCAACAGTCACTCTTGTGCTCTCTTACTACCGCATTGTCGTTACATGGTGGATTCTTGCGCTTTCAGCAGGTCGCATGTATGTGTGGAATACTGAGCGATGCTGTGAGGACAGTGTTGAATAAATCCTTGTTGTAGGGCGGAGAAGGAGAGTTGCCACAGGAGGAGTTGATGTCGATGGATGGAAGTTTGAGTTGCAACTTTGTAATAGATCTAGTGCTTCCTTTGAATACATTAGGAGGGAAGAACCGTTGATAAGTAGTCTGCTGCAAAGAAATAGCTTGACAGAGTCAGAAGTATTTTGAAGCTTTCTTCAAGTAACTAGGTAGTGGAATAATAGGTTTGCCAAGTGTAACCCTAGAACTTCAAATTTTCATCATAAAATTATAAGAAGAGATTTGTGGATATGTGGAAAGTCTATTTTAAGTTGGATGAAAAAAAAATTGTCCAGCTTGTAGTTGGGCAATAGCATGATGTCTAATTTCTCCCTAATTTAGCTAGTTTGTGAAATCCTAGAGATTTGGTATGGTATTTGCCTATTGATCATGTATTAAACATGAAGGTGTCCTTGTGCCTATAATTCTCAAATAAAGTGATAATGCTTATCAATATGCTTTGTATTTTTGTACATAACTAGGTTATAAAATATTTTTATACTTAACTGATTGTTGTTAAAAATCTTGGTAGATTGATTGGTTGATATGCCCAATTCTTATACCATTCTTTGCAAATAATTAACATTGCTTGCAACATTAGAGGTGATTCTATATTCAACATTGGCAATGGATTGTGAAATAGTAGGTTATAATTTACTTGAAGCACTTATGGTAGCAACTCCAATTTTATAAACAATATTGCCTATCAAGCATGTGGTATGTTTATTCCTTTTATAATTTGCATGTGCAAAAGTAGTGAGATTTAAAATATTGTGTTTAAGAAATAAAATGCCATAATTTAGTATATCTTTTATTATGTTAACACAAGATGTCTTTTATTATGTTGAGATGTGTCTATTAAGGAGCAACAATAAATCTAGATCAACAATCAATTATGAATTGGATGTCATATTATATTGTTGTAATCTAACAAAGGCTTTTAACTTAGATCTAATATTTGTAAGGATCACACTTAAGTGAGTTTAATTTGGCAAAAAATATCATGCTTTGATTAATAGGAATGTTTGAGGGTTTGCTATCACTTATGCTAAATCTTTCTAATGTTTGAATAATATATTTGTATTGATGCATTTATAGGTCATCTTTTGTTTTAAGGATTTATTTGATATTTGAAACTCAACCATGAGTTTAATTCTCATTTAGTGGATTTTAGCATCATCATCACCAATAAATAGAAGATCATCAATCTAGAATAGAAGTACAAAAAAATTATATCCTTTTTTGAGATATATATGTTGTAATCTATTATGCTTTTGAAAAATTTTAAAATAATTATTGTCCCATCTATTTTGTTATATTAAGACCATAGAACTTGTTTTAGTTTAAACAAAGATTTTCAGAGAAGACACACTATATCACAATTCTTGAGAGATAAAAAAATAAATAAATGGAATCATTATGTAAATTTTTTTGTCCAAATTTTTGTTTAGAAAAGTTTGTTTTATATCAAGGTGATAAATCTTCTATTTTTTTTGAAGTTTCAACTATAAAAATTATCTTAATTGTCTCTTATTATACAACTAGTGCATAAGTAGAAAAATAATCAACATCTTTTTTTTGTTTGTTTCTTAAAACAACCAATGATATTTTATTTATTTTATTTAATTTTTATTTTTTGTTTCTAACCATTACCATTGAATTTAATATAAAAAATCCATTTGGTAGAAATAGAAGTGCAATCTACAAGTAGCAATATATATTCTTATATTTACATTTTAAGAAGAGAATTATTTTCTTACTTTATAGCTAATATCTAATTAAAATCTTAAATAGTTGTATGATATGTATATGGTTTTGTATCAATTATATTGCCATAATTGACATAGTAGTCTTTGAGCATGGAATTGGAGGTTCAAGTTCTTTTTGGATATTAGGTTTTAAGAATTGAGCATGGTTTTAGATTCTATTAGAAATAACTCAAAGATAGGCAAGAGTGCCAACTTAGATGTAGTTCTTCATATGCTTTTAAGATAATATTTGATGAGAGTACTTGGTGCATTAGTGACTCGCTAATAATCCCGTAATAACTAAATTACAACATCCTTGGATTTACTTCTATTTGCTTCTTTTATTCTACTTTTTTTTGAATCCACATCAATCTCTTTTATTTTACGAAGAAGAATAAGAATTAAATCAGTGTAAGATTTAAATAAAACATAGGTCTTTTTGAAAAATAGAAAATTTGAGATCTTGAGAGCAATTTTAAAAGTCTTTGACATTCAAATAATTCTAGGTGAAGTATAGATTTATTGAAAGTAATATCATAATTCATAGTAATTTTTATTTAGATAGGTAGATAGATCATTTATGCTTTTGATAATTTATTACATTCTATAAATGTGCCTTTTTAGTCTTACTTGCAAATTATTTTTTTCTCTTCTTTAAAAACATGAAGATATGGCACATATTTCTAAATATTCAAGTGATCAATTTTTAGAATTAATTTGCTATATTGAATTTCTTATATGACTTCAAAATTTGTATAGGTAAGACTTCAATTAATTAGATAATTTATAGTATTTGCAACCTTATACCACAAGAACTTGAAGGGTCTATTGTCATGCATCAAGTAGTGCAACTTTTCAACTAGAAAGCAACTGTAATATTCAACTACTCTATTTTGTTACACAAAATTGGCTTGCAATAACTATCTTGTAATTCTATGTTAATTGCAATAATCTTAGAATATTTTAGAGGTAAATTTAATTTCATTATCAATGCAAAATTTAAGGATTTTAATCTATGTTTTGTTTGTAATTAAATTTCTAATAAGCTAAAGCTTTGAATAAGTTTTGAATTTGGCCTTCAAATAGTGGATCTATGATTTTTGAAAATAATCATTTGTGAATATTAGCATGTCTATATCATAGATATATATAGATAATCTTATAAATATCTATATAATTAGGTAGGAATAGATAAAAGTAGATAAAAATAGATTAATTTCATAAAATCTTTTGGAAAAGCTTCCTAGAAGCTTCATAGACAAAGTTTTGACTTTAGATGTGTTTATAGATTAGAAACTTGGCCAACAAATTAATCACATGTTGGTAGCTTATGGAACAAGTTAACTCCATGTAGTAGCTTAAAGAACAAGCTAACTATGTGGCACATACATAAATAATTTTGCTTGCAAGTTAAGAGATGTAGCTAGCAAAGTCAATACATATTGGAGGTCCTATAGAATATTATTACATAGCTCTTAATTAGAGAGTATATATAGAGGCAAGAGTGAAGCCTTCTTCACTCTTGTCAATTTCTTTTTAGTCCTTAGTCTTGTTTTAAGACTTTCTTGTCTTCTTGTTTTTAGTAATAGCCATTCTAGTGCAATAATATATCATCTTTGAGTGGCTTTTTAGTTCCTTTCATTGATACAAGAGTGTGTTAAGGATTTTCTTTCTTTAAGATTTGTATCCTTGATAGTTTGACAAGAGTACTAACATAATATTTTTGTCTTGTTTTAGAAGTGAGTGGATTATCCCACTTCTATTATTGTATTTTGAGGGTTGTGGACTATCCACCATTAAACATAAAATCTTATTTTTTAATATTAATCTTTTCCTTAAAAAGAATAGATTATCTCTCTTTGTAAAATTTTTATTAGAGGTTGCAAATTATCCTCCTCTAATTTAACTTTTTGAATTTTTTTCTATTATTTATAGAAAGAAAAATTATAGATGCTACTCTTAGCAGAAGTAACAATAGATTAGTAACAATTATAGATCTTCATGAACTTGTCAACATTCTAAGAATGAAAATCTCACGTATTTTCAACATGAATTATGGAGGTACTATGCCTACGTTTATGAAAGAAGTTCAGAGTGTGTAACAAGAAGTTGTGTTATTAAAGGAAGCAAGTAGATCGACCTTACAACCAAATCCAGAGAATTTTGCTTCTATAAGTATGACAAGGACAAGAACAAGGATTAGTATGCTTGAGAAGTTTGATGGAACAAGATGAAAATTTTGAAGATTTTTACAATAAGTCAAGCTCTATCTAAGATTGTATCCTTTCCAATATCTCGATGGATTTACTCAAGTTGGATTCATAAGCACATTTCTATCAAAAAATATTCTTTTTTGGTTTATACCTTTAATGAAAAAAGTTTTGCGACTCTTTTATGATTTGAATTTATTCCTAGAAGTGTTTATGACCATATCTAGAGAAAGTAATTGAGAAAGAGTAGGAGAGACCAAGTTCTTATCTTTACAACAAGGATC